AATCGTGTTCAATAAGTAGTTTAAACTAAACTATTATATTCAAATCTAAATCCATGACAACATGCCAACATCAATGAAGAATACATTCAGATAGACAGATACTATAACCGAGCCTATGCAATTGAAGAAACCCGAGTAGCCCAGAGGACTCAATGCTTTGAACCCTCTGTTTCATTAATTTACCATACTATAATCATTTTCCAAGCTATTTAAGTTTTACATGTACGATATTTCATATCCATTATTTTCCTAACTCTTTCAGATGGAGAGTGTAAGGCCATCTCCATCTATGTATCTTAAAGGTTGTCTCTTAGATTAAAAATTATTAAAACACACACTCTCTCTTCCTTTTACTCAACTTTATACATTCTTTTTCATCTTTTTACTCAACTTTTATTAATTTTATATTTTAATACACTCCATTATTTCAAAACAAACTCTCCAAAAGTATCTAAAATATCCACTTTAAAAAACTATCTCTTCGTTTTACTCAATTTTTATTAATTTTATATTTACTATCTCCTTTTTTTACTCAAATTTTATTAATTTTATATTTTAATATACCCCACAAAAACACTATCTTTCTTCATTTTATTCAAATTTTAATAATTTTATATTTTAAGAAATCCACTAACAAACCTACTAAAAATATGGATGGAGATGCCCTAAGAGAATTTTACTCATTAGTCTTTTTTTGTTTTCTTTAGTGAGAATGATAAGCCCATTATATTTCTTTGTGAGTGGAAACAAAATCTACTAGTAAAGAGGCCCATACTGAAGAAATAAATATACAAATTTCGACGAAATTATTAAGGACTAGCTCTTCGCTTTGCTCTTTGTCAACTAAGGGTATATGTCCAGGATTATAAAAATGACCGGATTTTTTTATGCAGTGTTAATTTAAATGACATATTCTTTTCTAACCGTTACTTCACGTTTTTTCTCTTCAAAAATATTTGATCTGTAATTAATATTTCTAAATCCAATTTGAGACCAGTAGTTGTAGTTGATGATACCGGTTAAAAACAAAATAACTTAAGGACCAATACAAACATTTCCACATGGTCTCGTTGGAACCCATGCCTAATCTTCTAATTTTTGGGTTATTTAAATGGTTAGTATTATAGTATTTTGTGTTTCTTTGATTTGTTTTAGTTTAAAGCCTATCATCATCCACTAAAATCACTAAGATTTTGT